GGAACGACTTTACGTCCCAAGGGCAACCGATTAAAACACTCCGTATATCATCTCCTTGAATTATTCCGTATTTGTTTTTTAATAAATTATATTAATAACGATAACGAAGAGACTAGAACAGAACTGGTGGCGCAGAACTTCTAGCGTTCACGAGTGGTGAAATTACGGATCATAATTAGTTTATCATTTCAATAATTGTCCGTCTCCGGGACGATGCTCCGTCCGGCGGAACGCGCTTTCATTCTGAATGTTCCCGTCCAGCCGTACAGGTCATATTCGGTCACAATCCGAGACACGGGCAGAGGATTCGGACCCCTACCACTGTTACCGCGGACGCGCCACTCGTGATCGCCGGTGTAAATCTCGATATTTAATATTTCGAAACGGTCCATACGCCCGTACAACGGTTTGTCAGCGTGTTTACGAAATCGCATCACGGAATAAAACCAATCGATGTCGACCATGTATAGTCTTGTCGCGTATAACCGTACAGTCGATAAACTGCAGGCGAAATCGATTCACATTGTTCATAGGTATAGCCGTACGAGAAAAAAACAAAACAAAACAAAACGTACGCGAAAAAATGACGAACAACACTTATATCCGCTATACACGACCGAAAGTGAACTGAAAACCGTCGCACGTATCCCTTGTTGTCAACGCTCTCGTGTTTAACACGTTATGCGTATTGCGTCGCTACGGGCACACGCTCAGTGCGCTAATATAAACGTGGAATCGTTTGAATTTCGTTCACGCCCGCCGCCCGAACGAATGTCGCGGCCGCGTAGTGCCGGGGGTCCGGACGCGGCGCCGAGGAACTGCGCGAACGTGTGGTTTTTCCAACGGTTTTTCGCGAACTCGGCGGGGGGGGGGAAACATTGTTGGCGGGTGAGAAAACAAAAAAAACAAACGCGCGCGCGCGACGCTCGATTCGCGCGTACGCGGATGTAACGATACCGGCGTGCGCGCGCGTGCATTCCGCCGTCTGACCTGGCGGGGTACCGATTGTCCGCGGGGAACAAAGCGGCGGCCGATAAAACGCCGCGCGAACGAGTTTCCGTACGCTAATATTGACATTGCGTACGCGCGCAATACCACGTGCGCGTAACGCGTAAAACGCGTATCCGGCGCGCGCGTACGCAACACCCGCTCGCGGGGTCGGTACACGGCCGCCCGCGGATTACGGGCGCGCGCGCGCGTCCGCGATAACACAACGCGTCCGCGCCGTTTCGCCCGGGCGCCCGCGACGCCGCGAACCGGCCGTCCGGACCGTCCGATCTCTGTTGTCGGTGTCCGCTGCGCGAGGAGCGACGGAAATACGGAAGTAACAAAAAAACGATAATATCGCGCGATCCGCGGCGGCGGCGTACCACGTTTACGTATGTCAACATATCTCAGCAGTTTACGTTGACGCGGGGCATTCGCCATACGCATTCGCCGACCACGCCGCGTACGCTACGAGAAGGTCGAGTCGGGCTCGAGTGCGGCGTTTAGTGTACGAGCGCGCGCCCGAGATTTCGAATTCGATAAGAGCGTCAGAGGTATCTGTTACAGTCGGCGTTTGTCGCGCTCGTTCGAACCGACTGTTGTCGTTACCGTTATCGTATCATTTAGAGTTTTTTTTTATTTTTTTTTTTTTTCCGATGCCCGCCGTTACTTTCGCGCCTATAACGCCTACTCTGTCACGGTGCCGTTTTCAAGACGATTTCGACCGAAACGACGCCCCCCGACCGGAGAAAAAGCGTTTGTCCCCCCGCGTCTCCGGGCGCGCGGTGCCGCGCTACGTCGCCGTCCGTTCGCGCGACGCGACCGGCCGGCAAACGTCTTTTCGCCATCTCTTACGCCGTCGTCGTTATTGTTCGTTATTGCTATTATATTCCTATCTCCGATCGCCCGTCTCCTCCGCGGCTCTGCGCCCGCGCCCGTACCGCGGCTGCCGCGGCGAACCGGTGCAAACACGCCTGTGTTGCCGCAACGGTTCCTCGACGACGTCTGTAACGCACACCCGGTATTATGTTATCTGTCCGGCGGATCTGCGCGAAGTTATTTGTGCCCGTCGACATTACGTTAACACAATGGACGCGGTGTGCGCGTACAACGCGGTAAATAACTACGGACACACAGAAATGAAAAACAATCTCGGAATTCAACTGTCCGGCGGCGGCGCTGGAAAAATCGAAAACGATCGGCGGCGCAAAAAGGGTTCGGCAGAGAGACGCGGAAAAAAAAAAACAAAAAAAAAAACCTCCGGCGAGAATTTTCAAACCGGCAGGACGTTTTGTTTGTGTTGCCCGTACCCGCCGCCCTCGCCGTTTATCGGCGTGCCGTTCGTTTAACGCGGTCGCGCGCCGCGCCTACCGCCGGAGCGGGTCGGGTTTTTTCATTGTTCGCATTTCGTTCGTCGGAAGGGGAAAACGGGGAGGGCGTTGGGAAACCGACCGTCCGCGCGGCCGCCGCGACAGCCGGACCCGGAGGCGGTGTCGACAGAGCGTCGGCGCGGGCGGGCGGACGGGCACGGGTATCCCCGGCCGCTTTTGACGACGACTCGGCCGGTACGGATAGGGGAAAAAAACAAAACAAAAAAAAGATTAAAAAAAAAAAAAAGAAGCGGCCCGCCGAGCGTCCGAGCGGCGGCCTCGGCACCGTCCGGGAACGGGGAAAGGACGACGCGGACGAACGTCGCGACGCGCCGGCGACCTTGCGGCGGGGTCGCATTTGGTTCGCCGGGTGTTACGTTTCGCGGACCCGCGGACGATATTCGTCCGACGGCCGCGTAATTACGATCCCCGTCGTCGTCGTTCCGCGCGATAGGGCGCAACGGTCCCGCCGGCGGTACCGCGCACGGCGAATAATACCGTTTTCGTACGATGACAATAATAGTGATGACGGTAATAACAGCGGAGGCGCGGCCCGGTCGTCGTAACGCGGCCCGGAAGTCGGGCGCGGCCCGGGGCGACGGTCGCGACGGTACGACAACAACCGTAACGCGCGTACCGGATAAGTCGCGTTTTCGCGCGTCTCGACCGCCGCCGTCGTGATCGTCTATCCGGCGCCCGGAACGTGACCGGGCGCGTCGACCCGACCGGTTCGACGCCAGCCAAACCTCCCCACCCACCCCGTCCACCGGCGCCGTACCATTCGTTTTCGGCGCGATCGCGACGCCGCGGGGCCTGTTCGCGTCGCCGAGGGTACGGGCGCGAATTTTAACGAAATTCCTCGGACCCACCGTTCTCTATCGTTCCCGACGGTTTTCCGAACCGATTCGACAAACGCTTCGACGGACAGCGGTTTTGATTTCGTCGATTTTCGAGCCGCCTTGCCGGCCGTGAGATGAAGACGCGTCAAATACAACAACTCTAACCGTTTACCGAGCTCCCTCCCCGCTCCGAATCGGCCTTTTGATCGCGACGGTTTATCGACCGTTTCGGCATACAGACCAAATGGATCCGACTCCCGCGCTTTCCCGATTCCACCTCCTCTTCACAACGGCGGCCCGCACTAGCCGCGCAAAGTCGCGTGTCCGGATTTTTTTCGAACGTTTTGCCGGGCAAACCGCCGGTGTACCGCGGCTTTTTCGCGGCGCCAAAACGAACGTCGAAACCGTAGGTTTTCTGTGTCCGCGCAATAAAATAATGTCGTCTTCGTTTTGGACAACACACTCGCGCACACCCCGAAAGTTATTATCATTCTGTTCTGTTTAACGGAGCCGTGCATAACGTAATACATTCGTGCGGTGCGGTTTCGCTTCGGTTCGCAACAGTTCTACGACGCATTATTGTGCGTTACGGCCGCAACGATTATCGCGGAAAATTATCGTTCTCGTCGTCTCGTTTGTTTGTTTTTTTTTTTCTGTCAACCGCGTACCTATCGTGTATAAGGTACGCGACATTTTCGAAAAAAAAAAAAAAAAAAAATCGTAAAACCGACGCGGCGGCGGCGGCGGTGAACCGTTGCGGAGGAGACAATAACTGCGGCTTTATTACGTGGCCGTCGTGATTTTCTCCGCTAAACCCGCGCGTACGAACATAAACAATTAGCGGCGCGTTACGAGACCGATAATTCCGCGGGAAACGTCCGCGCGCGCGGTCGTTTTACCGGGGACCCGTTGCTGCCGTCCGCCGCTCGGCGGGCCTCGTCGTCACAACGCCACGTCTCGTCCCGCGGGAATAACACGGAGATCGTAACGCGCGATCGTAGTCTTCACACGATTACCCGTGCGCGCTCGCGGATTTCGCACGCGGGCCGAACGGCGATTGATCGTCCGCCGGAACGCGCGTGGCGAAATGTCCGGTCGAAACGATCGACGCGGCACCAAACCGGCGGTAAACCTGTCAGTTTTGGCGGCACTGCGAGAAAAGAGTTCGTTAGGAACGGCCCGAGTCGTGGAAGAACCACTCGCGGATTTTGCACCGGGACAACGCACCTACCTGCCCATAACGCGCTATCTGTGCAGCAGTATTTGGCCGGTAAGCGCGCTCCAGTGCTCGAACACGCGCCGTACTCGGCAGATTTGGCGCCGTGCGACTTTTTTTTTTTGTTTCCAAAGATAAAATCTGCTTTGGAAGGGACCCGACTTGAGTCGATGGAAGCGGTAAAGCAAAAAACGGCAGAGCTCCTAAAGGCCCTCACCAAAAGAAGACTACTTCCAGCACTGCTTTGATCAATGGAAAAAACGTATGGAAAGGTGTGTGGCGAGGGGAGGGGAGTATATTGAAGGGGAGCATTTGAATGTAGAATAATTTTTATAATAAAACATTTTTTCGTAACCAGTCTCGTTGTTTAATAGCCACACCTCGTATTGCTATGCCGACGTTGCTACGCGCCGGGCAATCGTCAGCTGTGCCGAATCCTCCCCGCTACGGTATCGCGCGCACGCCGCCGCAGTTGCCATCGACGAACGAGTTTGTTTATCCGCGATCGGTATTGCACGATTTCCAACCGTGTCGCAGACGATCGGGTCTTATTGAGTTTTTAATTTTTTCTTTGAAAACGAATTCGCGATGGACGACGAACCCGCGCCGGTATTCGCGCCCCGTATCAAGGAAAGTCTTTTGCAACGGATGCAAGACAACTTGTTCGTGCCTATCGGTATATATTAAAATGTTACTACGTATAATAGAGTTCGGACGTTGTAGGCGTTTGATTTTCCGTTTTCGGTTTTCCTACTGCAGGTCCAATTTACTTCGGCGTCGGTTTTTTTTTTTTGAAATTTTTAACTCTCAAATTAGGTGGTTTTCGTTTTCCAAGCCTCTCTGGTGCAGTTTAAGTTTTCCTAGGCCCTCGCATTACTTTTACTCATACACCCTACGATTTGGACCGTGGCGTATTCTGCTCTTGGTCTTCCTCTTCAAATGTATCCTCCTTAAGTATCTCCTTCAATTATTGTCTTTACCGAGTTCCCGAGTTCTCGATATGTGCCCTGTCACTGCAACTCTACTGGACCGAAACATTTCTACGAGTGTTGTTTTTTCCTTTAGCCTATCCAATACGTCCTCTGTATCGTAACCCTCTCGGTCAAGAAGATAACCTTAAATGTTTTCCCGAAGCACCGCAATGTTTTTCAGACTACTGTTTTTCATTGGGTCAATTGCCCAGGCTTCACACCCAAAGACCGCAACACTCCATACGTAATTTTTAGGAATTTCTTCCTCGGGCCGACTCTATTAATACACTTATGAATACGTTTGTGGCTTTTATCTGCGGGGAAAGTTCTTTTTATTTGCGCTATCTTACAGATCATATTTGTTTTGCCGGTAGCCTGATATCCTTCATATCAATGTGAAAAACTCGAATATTAATTGTATAATAATATAGTTAATCTATAAATTACAGGTGCCATTTTGACCGTGGGTTGTTACGCTGTAGGACTGAAGTCTTTGGTGGACGGACGGTCCATGTTGGGACAAAAGATGATGTACTGCCGTTGTTTGTTCCAGGGGGTCGCGGTGTCCGCGATGTTTTTCGACCAATTTACTCGAAAGTCGAAAAGCGATCGGTAGAAAAAAAAAAAAAAATCCCGAATTTTTTTTTTCTTTTGCCCTTGATTTTCGAAATTTCAATCGTCGTGTGACGGCTGTACACCGACGATAACCGCACGTACGCCAAAGTGCACGGCGGAAACTCCGCGACGATATACCTAATGGAATCTAGGATTCTAAAACGTTAAAAAGTGTATTCGTTAAAATACCACGTCGTAAGTCTTTGATGTTCGGGAACATCGCAATCAAACACCGAAACAAGCGTATATGTTATTATGTCCTTGAAAAATCGATTCGTCTATAGATACGTCGAGGTTATGATTCAATAATAAAATGTGACCTGTACCTATACCGATATACGATATAAAGATTCGGCCGCGATTGAGAAATTTGTAGCTTGTGTGTTTTAAGTGTTTTTTTTATTTCACATTTTTACGATGTGAATTATTCGAGAAAAAAAAAAAAAAAAACCTTCGAATATAATTATTGCATATCTCTACGCTGGAACGTCATTATATTCATCATGACGAGTACCTACACACGCACACGCACACACACACACACACACACACATATATAATAATAAATAACTATAATGATAGTGTCAATTATTGTTGTTTCCCGAATCGGATAAAAAAAAAAAAAAAAAAAAAAAATCAAGAACTATAGAATCGGGCGGCGAATAATGTGCAGTGTCGGCGTGACGGGAGTTCTTGCACGTAAGCGTATTTAATGGCTAACGAACGACTTTTGGGGAGATTCGAGTGAAATCCCTACTAACGATTATTCTACGATTACTAATACGGTCGGCGTATTTTCGAATCAATCGAAATATGATAAAACGCTTATCGGTATCGGTAACATGGCGGTTCAATAAAACGCCAGAGACTGCACGAATTTACGCAGCGGAGCCGTCGGGGCGCACAACGTTTACCGATAAGTCGCATGGTCGAAACCACTCCTTCGATACACCCTCGGCGTAGAAATATCCCGTCGTTTTCCAAAAAAAAAAAAAAAAAAAAAAT